CCCACCATCACCACTATCTCAATAGCAACAACAGCAGCAACAACAACAACAACAACAACAACAACAACAACAACAACAACAACAACAGTAACCGCAACAACAGTAACAACAGCAACAACAAGAACAACAACAACAGCAACAGCAACAAAAACAGTACAGCAACAACAACAAAAACAGTACAGCAACATAAAACTGTAAAGGATACCATAAACGTCACATGGGAACACGTATCCACAGATCTGGTTCTCAATCACGAGGCAGCTTCATGCGCTATAAGGATAGATGACACCCATTTTCCACTTAGCTTTTCCAAGAATTTGATAGCTTCGGACTTATTTGAGTGCATTAATGACTAGTTAACTCCCTGTATGTGTTCTGAAAGTCTTGGTCTTCGACGCTTATGACGAATATACGAAAGCGACAGGCAAAGTTCATTGGGCCCACAATGTGGAGAGAGAAATTGGAGAATATTATTGTAACAACAGGCACGTTTGATGGAAAGAGAGGCAGAGGAGGCAGACAGAGGGAAAAGATACTGGACAAGTTGACAACATGGCTGGGAACAGCAAGAACGACAGACACCAATGTTGCAACGCACGACAGAGTGAAGAGGAGGTCCATGATCGCCCACGCCAGTCGGCAAGGCACTGAATGATGATGATAATGATTTTTTTTTTGTTTCCTTAATTAATGGGCCTGGCGGGCTCCACGATATAAATACTAGATCTAGATCTAATAAAAAAAATCCAATTGGGTAGTTTCTACATTTTTAAATGTTTACAGCTTGGGCAATATTTTTTAATAGCAAGTCTGTCATGTTTTTCTAATCGGTACATTATGCTTAATGAACGCATGTTTGAGAACCATTAGCGCAAACAATGTGATCACTATAAAAATAATTTCTTGCGACAAGTTTTGCAACTAAAAATTGTCATTAATGAGCTGTGACGTAGGCCTTATGCGTAATCAAAATGTGTGTGAAAAGCGGAAAGTGCTGTGAATAATCCCATTTTACGTGACAGAGATTTCAAGTATTTTATATAAATTTATGAAGAAAAGCTTTTTAATCTAGCCCCAATTGTTCTGTAAAAATAATATTATTTAGATAAGACAAATTGATACAACCTGCTGTGCAAAGGATAGGTGACATTGATTCACCCGTTAAAGAGATATTTGAGAATAAGTTAAGCCACGAATTTTTGACCGAACTATAGTGTGTAAATAAACAGGTTCTGAATTGATAGATTTGTAGGGACATCCGTGATGCTAAAAACTTGGAGTGGGAGGTTGGCAGGTGTTGTGGTATGGTTTTTCTTATTTTTTCCTATCAAACATCCTTCGTCCTTATTTCTACTTCTTCTTTTTTTGTGTGTTTGTTACTCTTTTGTAAGGCATCTAATCTTCGGTACTTATACGAACTGATTACGTTGCAAGGGACATGAAACGCTTACTACACAAAAATAAAACGAACGCTCGTATGATAAAACCTACAGCGTACAAATATAAGATAGTTTTCTCGGAAAGAGCTGTAGGATCAGGATTTATGACGTTCTCAGGAAATATTTTAAAGCCCCTTAGCAGCCCCCCCACCCCCCGCTCTCTCTC